ATCTTCCTTTCCACAAACCACCAGAGAAAAGAAGGTGGCAGTAGCAGACTATGACTATTATTATTTGTACAAAAGATGCTGTGGGGATTAACTTTTGGTAGTGCTACACTTTTAACATGGACTTTCTATTTGTTTTTATTTCATGGCATTCAATGCATAAATTATCCCTTAGTTTAATGCATAGGTTGTAATGATAAATACTTTTGTGGTCATTTTTATGCTCTCAACCAATAATGAAGAATAAAACATCTGTTGATCAGATTTTGCTTTTTATGTTTTACCAATTGTATATGTTAATAAACTGACAAAAACACAGTTATTTACAAGTGTCGGATGCATTCTTTTGATAGATATAGCATAAAACAAAATGCCTTTGATTCTAAAGAATAGTGAAGAAATGCTGTTATGACCATAAGCAGGGCTCGACAAATCAATGTATCTACTCGCCCGTGGCAAGTAGATTTCACCCAGTCATCATGTTCACAGTGTGGGGCTGGCAAGTGGATTTTGTCACAATTTGTTGAGCCCTGACCATAAGAATATTTCTGTTTATGTGTACAAAAGCACTTCACAGATCAGGACCCCAGAGCTAAAAGGTGATCATACCTGCAGATGCTAATATCTGTATATAGCACTTCTAGGTTATTTGACATAAAGTCACTAGAGTTCTGGAAGGGTGCATCTAGACAGTGGTGCTATTTTGGGATACTTCCAGTGTCCCGAAATACCTATTCCACGTCTTTGAAACAAGCCTGTTATTTTCAAATATAATAGGCTTGCTATTCAGATGTCCCTGTAAACATTGTTCCACGTGGTTTAAGGTACATTTTAGAATAGCAGTTTATTTTGAAATTTGGTGTTGTGTAGACAGTGCAAATTATGAAATAAGCTATTTTGAAATAAGCTATGCCGTTTGTGTAGCTCAAATTGTGTATCTTATTTTGAGCTAAGGGTGCAGTGTAGACACACCCAATGAGTGTAAAGGCCTCTCCTACATGCAGATTACTCTGTAGGTTTTACATGCAGTGTATATAGCCTCGCCATAAAACCTGATCTTTCTCTAAAATGCAAGCCAAGATTCTGTAGAAATTGACTACTTAGAAAAGATTCCTACTCATCACATATATGATTTTTTTAAAGTCCTAATTTAAGAGGCCTAATCAAGATATAAAATATTATTTCTTAAAGATGTAACATCTAAATAAGTTCAAGTGGCTCTGTTACTTTGATCTTTCCTGAACTGTTGATTGACTTCTAGCTAGAGTTTTGAGTGTTCATTGCTGCTATTGTGATCCTTATGAGTACAGGCAGTCCCCAGGTTACATGGATCCGACTTACATCGGATCCCTACTTACAAACGGGGTGAGGCAACCCCGCACTAGCTGCTTCCCCCCAGTAGACCAGGGAGACGCGAAGCTAGTGCCCCCCGCAGCAAACCAAGGAGATGCAGAGCAGCTTTTCTCAGCAGACACCTCAGCTTGAGAATAAAGGACTGAGGGAAGTGAGGTGTGGGAGAATAAAACTGAGCTCTGGAGAAATGTTTGGCTAGAGTTTCCCCTACATTATGTACCAGTTCTGACTTACATACAAATTCAACTTAAGAACAAACCTCCAGTCCCTATCTTGTACGTAACCCGGGGACTGCCTGTAGTTGTGAAACTGACAAAAAGAAGTAGAGGAGGTATCCAAAATGCGACAGTGGGAAGAGTAAAATATCAGATATTCCATTCGCACATGTGCCAGGAGACTGGTTTGATGGAGATGGTAACTGAATGGGTACTTTATCTTTTCTGGGAGCCAGAGGGATTTGGGATGGGGATTCTTCAAACTGGTCAGATGCCAAATAACTGGAGACTACACACAGCCTCTGAGGAAGTTTCAGGGGCAGAATACTGGAAAGAAGTCCATGCTTCCCTTTCTAAACAACATGGAACAAGAAGTATTGATTTCTCCCATTTCTCTTGAACAACAGAGACGCTTATCTGTATTTAGTCAATTAGCTATTATGTGTTTGGCACATGATTAAGTCTGATATAGGTGGATGATGGTGAGTGGGTGGCTGAGAGAACTATTTTTAAAAACATATTTGTATTTCCATAGTTCCCAAAAGCAACAATTAAGATCTGAATTCCCATCATGCGAAGGGCTATATAAATACACAAGAAGCTATGATCCCTTTGTTTCAGTGTGGCTGAGGAAGAAGAGAGAGGGGAAATTACGTAAGAAATGAGTAGGTAAAGGATGAAGCTAAGAACTGTCAGACAGGATCAGACTAAAGTTTTATCTAGCCAGTATTATTTCTCTGAGAGTGGCCAGTATCAGACCTTGGGAGCCATGTACAGAACAGGGCAGTTTTGGACACATCATTCTTGTTCTCCTCTCCTGGCTTCAGGCAGTCAGAGATTTAGTGTCACCCTAAGTGTGGGGTTGCATTCTTCACCATCTTGGCTGATAGCCATTCATCCAACATGAACTTAGTTTTTTGAACCCAGCTATAGTTTTGACCATCACGCTATTCCATGGCAATAAATTCCATAGGTTAACTGAGTGGGTTTTAAAAAGTACTTTCTCTTGTGTATATTAAAATTTCACTGATGAAGATGTTAAAGAACATTGGACTCAGAAAACATCTCTATGGAGCCCCACTTCATACTTCTGTCCAATCTAACATCATTCCATTAATAGTTATTTTTTGTTTGCAGTTCTTTATATACCCATTTAATGGTAGTTCCATGGAGCCCACATTTTCAAACATTACTTAACAGAATATCATGGTGGACTATCAAAACCTTTGATGAATTCTGGGTCTATTATGCCCACTGCATTCTCCCAATCTACCAAACCAGTTACCCTGTCAAAGAAAGAAATCAAGATGGTTTGACATGATTTGTCCTTAGTAAAACCATGCAGGCTGCTAGCGATTATCTCTTCATCCTCCAGGTATTTGCAAATTGGATGTTGTATACATTGCTTTAGTAGTTTCCCAGATATCAAAGTCAGTCTAACTGGTCTGTAATTCCCTGGTTCCTCCTTTAGCCTTTCTCCAGTCTACTGGGACCTCTCCTAGCATCCATGACTTTGCAAATATTATTGCCAGCCTTTTTGACTGCTGCTGTGCAATAAACTGAAATTTCTAGAGAGCTACCCATGTTGATTCCAAGGTCTTTCCTGAATGGTAATGGCTAGTCACCATTGTAGTTGGGATTATTTTTTCTAATGTGCATTACTTTTGCAGTTTTCAGTGTTGAATTTCAGAAGCTTTTGTTGCCTGATCATCCAGTTCTATGAGATCCCTGTGTAACTCTTCACAGTCAGCTTTGGACTTAATTATCTTGAATAATTTTGCATCACCTGCTGCAGTCTTTGCCACTTCACTGTTCACTCCCCTTTCAAGATCATTAATCAATGTTGACTAGCACTGGCCCCAGTACAGATCCTTGATGGCCCCTGCTGCTTAACTCTCTCCATTGTGAAAACTGACAATTTTTACCTGTTTCCTATATTTAAACCAGTTACTGATCCATTAGAGCAGTGTTTCTCAACCTTTTTTCATAAAATACCCCTTTTTCAAAAAAAAAGTGCCCCCAGTACCTACAGTTTTCAGACACACAACATTTTTTTCTTCCTTTGCATCACATTTGTTTAAACAACTTAATTGTAGCCAGGCTGGCCATGAAATGTGTGGGTTTAAAAAGTACAAAAATAAAAAAGCGCTGTAAAGCTTAAAACGAAAATTTAGTTTTCTCCAAATTTCAGTTGTTGACATACCCCCAGCTGTCTCTTGAGTACTCCTAAGGGTACTCAGACCACTTGTTGAGAAACACTGATCTAGACCACCCCATAGCATCTCTAGGAAATTTTTTCCACTGCTTAACTACCTTGACAGTAAGCCTGCTTTCTCCTCATGGCTGACGTAAATCAAACTTGCTGCAGTTTAAATTAATTACTTCTAATCCTGTTCTGAGTGTTTAAGGAAAACAATTTGACACCTTCTCTTTATAACAACCCTTAATGTATTTTAAGAATGTGATGTCTTCCCTCCGAATTCTATTTTCCAGACTAAACAATCCAATTTTTGAAAATCTTTCCCCGTAGGTCATGTTTTCTATATCTTGTCTTCACTTGAAATGCTATGGCAGCACAGTCTCCGGAGTTCTGCTCTGTGGCTTCAGTATAGACACTTACCTATGCTCGTGAGAAGGCTTCTCTCTGCTTTCCACACCAGGAGTTAGGTCAGCTTAATTACTCCCCTCATGTGTGTGGATTTTTCACATCTCTGAGTGATGCTGCTCGATCTGCCTCACTTCATGTAGACCAGACCTCAGACATTTAATAATTATTTTTTGGCTCTCCTCTGTACTTTCTCCAGTTTGTCCACATCTTATTAGAGAACCTTCCTTGTTATCCAGTTACTTTTTAGTTTCCTTAAAAGTCTTTGGTAAGGGACTTTATCATAGTTCTTCTGGAGAATCCAAGTCTTGACTGGATTACCTTTATCTATATGTGTGTTTAACACCCCGAAAGAATTTAAATAGATTGGTGAGGCATGAGTTCCCTTTACATAAACAGCGTTGACTCTTCCCCCAACTATTGTGTACATTTGTATCTGATAATTCTGTTTGTTACTATACAGTAGTTTCAACCAATTTACCCAGTACTGAAGTTAGGCTCACTGGCATGTAATTATCAGGCTCACCTTTGGTGCCCTTTTGAAAATTGGCATTACTTTCCTCTAGAGATTTAAGTGTTTAACCAGTAAGGTTAAATGATTAAACTCCTGGCCACAGCCAGCAGCCGGTGGGACCGGTAGCTCACAAAGCATTTAATCCTGTAACCAATTGAAATTAAATTGTTTATATAGTTCATGTTTTGCTTTTTACATTTTTTTTACATCCCTACTTTCCAGCCTTGTTTGTTTATTTTCTCTTTGTCTCTGTCTCTGTCTCTCTCTTTCTCCCTCCTGCTTTCCCCCCTGCCCTCCCAAACCCACCTTTAGAAAATCATCTTCATTCTGGTCTTTGGAGGCAGGAAGTACTGGATGGAATAGGGAGTGAAGTGGAGAAGATGTCATGTCCCTGAGCCTAGTGCTGCGGGGCTGGGAGAGACAAATAGGGAAGAAGAAGGTGAGACTAGGAAAGAACTTCACTATGCTGTGCTTTGTAGTTACTTACCTGTGCTCTCCTTCTCCCAAGCACTGGCAGTTTGCACAGTCCTTTGTGTGGCTAAAAAGCAGGATTCTTAGCACCACATGTAACTTGTCGGCCGTTTAACACCCATATTCTAGACAGGAGAGTTGTTTCAGAATATGGTCAGTGTTACACATAGACATATATCTAAGTTCTTCTACCACACTCATTACATAAATTTGTGATCAAAGGGAATGGTTTGCAGAGACCTGAGTAGGTATTTCTCTCCTTACCCAGAGGTGATTGAATAGATAGAATTTATCTGAATCTTCTTTCTCCTTAATTTTCATGGTCTTGTTTTCATTCCAACAATGATAGCAAATAGACTTTTAACTGTCTGCCTTATATTAGAAGATTCCCTTCAAGTTGAGATTGAGGCATGTTAGCTAGCCTGAATTGGGGTATCTTACACTGCAGGTGCACTGTGTTTGTCTGTAGCTAAATATAGGATTTAAGGCTAAAAGGTGTGGTAGCTACTCCACTGAGCATTTTTAAAAAGTCTCTTGAAACTCAGCCTCTGGGAATACTTTTAAAAAGTGAAGTATCCTTTGGAGGCTGTTGCCACTTGAGGCATGGCTTATTTTTAGTGCGACCAAATATAAATTATAACAGGATATTAGGACCTTGGCAATAATCTTATATCTTGCAATCCCACACCAGCAGGCCCCAAAGAGAGCTGTCCAATCAGTACTAACACAGGGTATCTCACATTGAAACTTTGGAGAAAGGCTCCTCCGGCATACAGATCCTTTGACGTGACAGAGGAAATTTCAGATATGCCATCAAAAACAAGCTCCTAATGACATAATAAGAAAAAATTGGTGTTAAATCATTCTAATAATGACATATTCTATAAGGCAGAAAATGGGTCAGAAATTAATTGTAATGAAGTTTTATTAATCAGTTAAAATTAGTTCCCGTTTCCAATATATTACTCTCTGCTCTGTATGTGTGTGTGTACATGTGTACATACACACATTATCTGTCTCGCTTTTAGTTGTTAATATTAACTTTTATTTAAAAAGGCATTGAATTATTATTAAAATGTAGGTAAATTCAGATGTAGGAAAATTCTGAATGAAAGAAACATACATAGGTGTATATTAAAGCTATACAGTAAAACTAATTTCATAAACATTTTTTACATAGTAAATTGCTATTTTTTATTTATAATTTAAAATGTCTGTTTTACCTTTTTTCTGTATGGGTCACCATATCCTTGTTGAAGCTCTTGCTGTATCTTCCCCTGACGTTCCTTTGCTTTTTATACCACTACCATTGGGATTGTCCATCAAATTATAAAGTTTTGGATGATGCAGAACATGCAAAATAACTTTCATGTGATTTTTGTATTTAAAATATATTTTGACTTATAATTTCAGCATGTGTATTTTCAAGTGTGCATGGTAATTAACAAAGTAAAAACTGAAGAGCTTATAGTGTGATCACCAGTCTTATAACTGACTCTAGGGAACATTGGCCTGAGTGTAAGGAGCTGGTTCAGTCTTAATTGATATGGGCAAATACCTATAACCTTTCCGGGTACTGCTAATGGGAAGGGAGGAATGCACAGATTTGGAGTAGCCATATTGGTTTCTAGGATTTTGTTCAGTACTTCTTACAAGCATATTATGTGTGTAATATTTAGGGATGTAAGCTACTAGTCAAAAATGTCCGATTGAAATATTAAGCATTCTTTAGTTCTCCTCCACACCCCCTCCCTTGCCCCAAAAGCAGAATCACAGAATTCAGATCACATATTGCCTGGTAAGTTACTGGACTCAAAAATAAGTTTAATTTTGGACCTAAGTGGAGGTATAGTGTGTTAGTTTAAGCACAAGAACTCTTTAATTCTTATTCTGAGCCTGGGCATGTCTACGTAGTGCAAATTAAAATAAAATAAAAATTCCAATCCCACAATAGTAAATCTCATAACCTGGATCCTGATTTGAGTTTTCAGGGCCTATTCTGTGGAGCTAAAAATAGCAGTGTAGACATTTGGGCTCCAACCCAAGCCTAAATGTCTTCACTGCTATTTTTAGCTCCTTTACCCAAGTCCCATAAGCCTGAGTCAGTTGGCCTGGGGGGTATGTGTTTTGTTGGGGTTTTTTTTTTTAGGGTGGGGGGTTGCAGTAGGAATGTGAGTTCTCCAGATTACAGCACAATTAGATTTTATGCATTTCTGTTACCTTTCTTTGGCACACATAACATTACAAATTGCTCTTGCTGTAAGTAGGGAACTTAGTATCTTCTAGGCAAAATAGGTTTTAATAGATCAGCCTTTTAAATAGGAACTTCATGTGCACATGTTACACCATCGTTACAACTTATTGCATGTTCAGATAATATTGCCAATTTTAATGCTTTCTGGATGGATGGTTAGAGGATTTGTATGATAATTTAGTTTGCTAGTTTTGCCTTTACATGGAAGACCTGGATTTGAGAGTACCTTTGCAGAAAGGGTTTAGAATACTCAAGGTGCTGCTAACTTCTTCAGGTAAAGATTATGGTGCATATGATGATGTTTGTGTGCAGTCTCAGGAAATCAGCCAAAATATGTTATAGAAATGTTCTGTTTATACCTGTCTTATTGTCTGTCTTATAGTATACTTTTAAAAGTAAAGTTCACATGTAATTTTTTTAAAAGAAATACATCTTTTGATATAACCAACTTTTTAAAAAAAGGTATGTGTTAAATATAAAGATCATAAGTTATGGTCTGATTCATAGGTGCCAACTGGGGCTGGAGCACCCATGGGGAAAAATCAGTAGGTGCAGAGCTCCAACTGACCCCCTCCCCGCATCTCCTCCCCACCTGCCCTGCATGCTGGTGACCCCATTTATTAACTTATTCCCTGCCCTCCCAGCGATTCCATGAATCTGCTGCTTGCGATGTCTGGCATTCAGGAAGCTCGGGGGTAGGCAGAAGCAGGGACAGGATGCACTTGGTAGAGGAAGTGAGCAAGAGGCAGGGCAGGGATTTGGGGAAAGGAGTGGAATGGGGCAGTGTGAGAAATGGAGCTAGAGTGTGAAGGGGTGGAGTGGAGCAGGATCTAGCATGGCGGAAGTTGAGCATCCTCCCACTGAGAGGGGAAGTTAGCACCAATGGTCTGATTGTTTAATTTTTGTTAGGGAGAGAAGTGTAATGTATTATGAAGGTTGTAATGAAATGTGGAGATACTTGTATTTTTTGCAATAACCTGTGTTTGTCTCAGTATGGTCTTTTCTAACTTTACTAGAACAAGTTGAAATCGTCACAGAAAGATAAAGTTCGTCAGTTTATGATCTTCACCCAATCTAGTGAAAAGACTGCAGTGAGTTGTCTATCTCAAAATGACTGGAAATTAGATGTTGCAACAGACAATTTTTTCCAAAATCCTGAACTTTATATACGAGAAAGCGGTAAAGGATCATTGGACAGAAAGAAGTTAGAACAGCTATATAACAGATACAAAGGTGAGTGCAGTGAGTTCTAACAATTATGCCTTTTAGAGTATTTTATTTGCAGTTTCTCATTTTAGATTCCATGTTCATTGTATGTTTATAACTGGACTCCACTACTTAAATTTAAACTGACCCAGACACACTAATAATAGAAGACCAGCCTAGAAAAACAGATACCATTTATATATGATCCCAGTGCTGCAAAGGTAGGCATACTTGACTACCTGCATAATTGACTTAAATGTGTGTAAGTCTTTGTAAGATTGGGGCTTAAACTTGGAGTTTTATATACTGTTACCCAGTTGGCCCCTTTAGCCGTGCTACTTTAGGTGATTGGTTCTTCTGTGGGTAACATATTACTCCAGACTTTAATCCTTGACAAAATAAAATGGAATATAGATTGGTCACTCAGGCAAAAAAGTGGAGTGAGAATGGTGAGTCACTTTAAAAGTAGCTCTGTTATGAGACCAATACATACAGGAATGTCATCAGTTGAATGTTAGGCTGAGTAACCTACAAAGTAAGGCTAAGGGGATTTGCAACGGTAGATTAGATTCTAGGGAAAAGTACTTGACGTTTTAGTTTTAAAAAAATAGATACGCATAGTCATCTTTGTTTTTCATTAGTTTTAAGATATGTGCAGTTTTCATAAACATTGTGTAATACACATACAGTTATACTGGCTTATGTTAGTAGAGAGTTACTACCGCCTTTGAAATATGAAGACCTCTCTTCCATTCCAACTACTGAGTTTTTATGAACTGTAAGGGGAGAGAGGAGACAACACATGGCTAAGTGATTTGGGGTTAATGAGGCAACAAAGTTTTTGTCTTCTAGGTTACTCCGTCCAATTCAGGTCAAATGGCTAACGGCCAAAATTATAGCTGATGTCAGGTTTTGTAGTTTTATGGGGAAACCAATTTGGTTGTCTTAAAATCCATCATAGGAAGTGGCACCCACACTAGCAATATTAGCCAAGAACTTGAGTGTTCATCAGTGTTGTCTGTAAGCTGTGCACTTGTGCTGGTTGCTCAGGAGAGATACAGATGCTACCCAGTTGATTAGTAGAGCGCCCACAGCTAGGGTGCTTTTTTTCTGTTGGTGGTGTACATTCATACATGCCTTGGTGTACATAAACTTGAATCACACATGGAAGGAAAAAAACCCACACGGGAATGGAAAAGATTAGAGTGAGCATTGGTGTGCATTGAGGTGTGAACTGCCTTCATATTCCTAGAGTTAGAGCTAGGGATGTTCCATATTGGTTAATTGAATAGTCAGTTAACCTCCTTAATTCTTACTGGTTAGTCGACTATTCTATAGTCTCCGGGGGTGGGACCAGCAGCCAGCGCGCTCCGGCCCGACTCCTGAGGAGCCCCCTGCCACTCCACGCTGCTGCCTCTGTGTCAAAGGCAGCAGCATGGGGTGCCAGGCAGGAGCTAGTCCATGACGGGAGTCAGTTTTAAAAAACAGCTCCCCTCGCAGCCTGACTGCCTGTTGTCTCATGCTCCTTCCTCTGATACAGAAGCAGCAGTGCAGGATGGCAGCAGTCCCTGTCTGGGTGGGGTCTGAGCTCCCAGACCGAGTGCAAGCTGGAACTGAGCCTGGCTTCCTGCCCCTTTGATTCCTAATACACTTTAAATGCAGAGTCGCAGCAGGGGTAGGTCCCGAACCCAGCGCAAGCCAGGACTGAGCTGAGCTGCTGGCCAGCCTTCTAAAAAAATTACTGCCAGGGTGGGGAATGCATATAGTCTCTAGCATTAACCGATAAGCTTTTGCTTTGTGGTTAATAGGTTAATCAATTACATTGTAACATTCCTAGTTAGAGCCTGTCTACCTTAACCTGGAGGGTAACTAATTGCCTCTTGAAGCGAGTAGGTGGAGCTCTGTTCTATAAAGAAAAGAAACGGATATCTCTGACAGAAGGACTTAACAGGTTGGATTACAACCAGGAAACTATAGTAGTGAAGCCTGAGTGGGTGGAAGGGCTATTAATTTGAAGTCTTGTTTGAATCTTTATTTGGACTTCTTTATGCTACCCCAAAGGGGTCTAGATTTTTCCCTCTCTTGATCTAGAGGATCAAGCCACAGAATACCCTAAGGAGGAGTCAGCTGTGCTCACCTTGGACAAGAAAGCTGCCAGCAGAGAGAGGGTACAGGAGACAAAGTTCCCTGCAGTGCTATGTCTGGACAGAAGGGGGTGCCTGAGAGGTGAGGACGTGTTTACATGTGATACCAGGAGGAGGATTTGGAACCCCATTTTCTGAAGCAAGAGGGAGATACTAATTTTGTTTAAGGCAAGGTGTGGAGGGACCGACTTTTTTTTTTTTTTCTTTTGGGACAATGGAAAACATAGTCTGCATGCTGACAACCTAACAGGAGCAGATACATGCTATTGTGTTGTACTTACGACAAGGGCAGCAACAACAGCAAGAGGCTGGACAGGCTCAGCAAGAACGTTTCCTGCAATGCATAGAAAAGTGGACCTCAGGGACCCAAGTGGTTTTGGCAGAAGAGAATTCAGCCATACTGGTACTAGGCCTGGCAAAGTTGGGCTCAGAGGTAGACTTGAAAGGATTATTGCACATATTTCTGAGGGAAGCAGTCATAACAGGTAGCTCCTCTTCAGTAGTCTCATTCTTCTCAGGAGAACCTCAGGCAGCCTACTAAGGTATTTTCTTGCATCAAGCAAAGTCATATAAAATAGCAAAAGATATTCTGTGTAAATTGTCTGGGCCCAGCAGTGTACCACCAACACCAGTTTAGCACAGAGCTTTTTCCCTTAAGGATGCAGCCTAGAATGGCAGCACATTTATGAGATCTGTCAATGTTATGGTTGCAGCCCAACACAAACACATTAGACAAACTTAAAAAACAACGAATAGTCGTGGGCGTCTTGGAGACTAACATAACATGTAGATGGTACCATGAGCTTTCGTGGGCACAACCCATTTCTTCAGATGAAGTGATGGACCTTATACTTCTAGAAGAGTTCCTAAGGATCTTGTCTATGGATTTTGTCTGGGGGGGCCCAAAGTTGGCTCTGGATGTTTCAACCAACTTCTGCTGATGAGGCCATACTGAGGTCAGAGTCCTGCATGGAAGGTTATAGTGATGAACCACCTGAACAAAGCCATAAGTTAAAGAGACTGTTCTGAGGGAAGTAATGTGAGAGAACTCTGATCCTGACATGGCATGGGGGATGTATGGAGAGAGAAATTTGTAGGCAGTCCTGTACAAAAGAAGCTGGAGGAGGTAGCAGCACCTTAAGAGAACCTGGTTGTGTGTTTCTAGTATGGCTAACTAGCTAATATATAAAAGGATTGCCCAGTCACAGAAAGTGACTTGAGATGTTTCCTTAGTAGTGGGCACACTTCAGCCTACTAGGTAACTACTGAACTGATTGGACAGGAAATGAGAGGACTGATTAACTCTAGATGTAGACAGAGTGGGGAGTAGTCTAATCATAGCGAGAATAGATTAGCATTTGTCAGTGAAAGTTTCATGTGCATTTAGAAGACATGGGCCTACCCAACAGCTGAGATAGAGGCAGAACTACAGGATTGGAGGAGCATGCTTATTATCAGCATTGTAAGCTACTTCCCCGATCCATAATTGTAGGCAGAGACTGGCTGGTCTGAGAAAGTACTGCTACAGTCAGTTGACCATAAGACGACCGTCACCAGGATGTTAGGTGTTAGGCTGCATGGCTGAACTACAAGGATGAGGAGCAAGAAGTCGATGGCAGGGTGGAGCTGATTGAGAGATTCTAAGAGAAGACATCATGTAAATTATGAGCCCTGGCAACATGATTATATGAGGCAAAATGGAGCTGGAAGAGGTGAAAATATTATGGCAAAAACTAAGTGAGAATTGGTTTGGAGAAGACTGGCATATGAAAAAAAAATCAGTGGTAATTCAAACAAATGCTAGCTACCATGTATATCAAACAGTGGGGCCTCAGTCTCTGGGACTCAAGGACAGAACCCTGTAGGAAACAGTGAATTGTGCAAGTTTGTGGGCATTGGATATCCTGAATGAGGAGATGGGAGAAGCTGCTCTGGTCATGGACTCTGATCTTTCACCCCACAGGCAATGCAGAAGGGTGGAGCGAACACAGCTCTAGTAATTCCACAGTAAGTTAGCTACTGCTGAAGAGACAAAGCATACTGGAAGGAATGTTACCAAAACGTGTTAGATGACCAAAACACTTTGTTCATCTGGATATATGACTTAAAGGAAGAGCTGGAATCCCTGCAAGGCCACATACAGTAACATGGACAGAGTACCCGGACAGGTACTTCCTTGGGGCAGGGAGTGGGTCGGTGATTGCCAGCAAGCCAAGGGAAGGCATACAACAAATAACGCTTTGCACCTTGGGAGTAACTAATTGCTTCCTGGATAGTGGAGGCAGAGTTAAGCCTTGCAAATACACTGAGGAAGCTCATTTTGGGAAGAGTCCCGAGAAGGCAGGACAGATACAGCAAGGGAACTATAACAAAGCCTGAAGTGAGCAGAGGGAGGGGCTGTTTAATTTGAAGACTTATTTGAATCTTTATTTGGACTTGCTCTTGCTACTCCTGAAGGGTTCTAGACTTTTACCTGATTTGGTCACAGGGTCAAGCCACAGAATACCCCAAGGAGGAGCTGGGAGTGGTCAGTAGAGCTAAAATGAGACCATCAGAAGGAGGGCTAGAGCCAGAGTCCCTGCAATGCTGTGTTCTGACACCTAGAGATGAGCACATGTCTCCACTGGCCACTTGCACTATTCCTGCCAATACGAAATATCCTCACTCATGTTCAGGCTCTTAATGTCTTGGAGGTAATCCAATCTTGAAAACAAGTATTCAGCATCAGTAGCTCCAGCAATGCACTCAAAGCTTGCCATGTCTCTTGGCTGAAGTTGAGAAGTGTGTTTTGATGACTGTTCCAAAATGCCAGCACATCCAGTTCCACATTAGCAGGGTAGACAGTTCATGTAAATAGTAAATTCCTTTTTCAGATTTTAAATT